GCCGGCAGTCGGGTTAATTAAAAGTTATGGCACAGCAGCGTTGTTTTCTATACTATGCTGACCCGAATATATTCCCCAGAGAGGCATTGTCCCGAGGGATCCAGACGAACAAACTCTTGGTGTTTTGGCCCCAATGCGAGCTGCTGCTTGCTGATATACCGCAACATCGGTTGCATGTTTCCTGTGTTTTAGTAACGCTGAACCATGACACAATACTCCCAGAATCAGATCGGTTGTCGTGTTTTCTATTCATACTCGGTTCATTTATGTGCGCTTTTCTTTACCTGGATTGTTTAGAAAGCGAATGAATAGGAAAGATTTGTGCGAGGAGCGGCTGTTGTTATCACTCGTTTCCACAGCTAATATTAAAATTTTCCGTCGGAATTCAGCAGCTTACATCTTGAAATTTACGGTATTTTAATTGAAAGAAATCATACACAATTTTTCAAGGATTTATTTAATCGCAGCTAGCGTAAGACGTCATAAATCATGGGCAAATAATTTTTGGTGTCAATTAGTTAATGACTTCAGATATCATCCGTAAAATTATGGAATTAGGAAGAGAGGCAATTCGGTCAACTTGACAGACCGTCACTCTAATTACACTTGATGTCTTTTGATGTACTAAAAGCCTCATTGCTAGAAAGTCGATAAGTTCTCCTCGACTTGATGCAAGTTTAATTGATATCGAAATAGTTTAAAATAGAAGGTTTTTTTTAACCATTCATCGAAACATTCTTTGAAATTGTGATGGTTTTATTTCCTCTCATATACCTTTTAGAAAAGAGCAATCTCAATTTAATTCTTTATGAAATGTATAAAGCTTGTTTCTCTGTGAATACACAGGGGTTTTTGTAAAACACAATAACAAATTATTACATTTTAACTGCCATATCTTTTAGAAAATTTTAAATAAAGTTTTAGTTAATAGTAAAAACTTATTCATTTCATTGTGAAAAAACTTTTAACTGTTTTTTATATGTAGACAAATATGTATTTTTATGTTTTTGAAAACAATAAAATGTACGTTATATTAGTTCTGAGATACAAATAAATTCATATAACTTTATTTTCAAAAGCAAGCCTTCTACTTTTTTCATATTCTGTTGCATACTACCCTGATTTAACAAAACGTTGCTTCATCTGAAATAAACTTTTCCTAACTCGTTACATTAATTCATTGTGCTGCTTTCCAAACCGAATAAAAGCTATTTCAAAATGGGGTTTTGCGATTTTCAAATCTCCCTTTCAAGCAGGACCACATTCTCGTTCTTCTCTACTCGCTAGCATCACATTTATTTGGTTCTGTTCTTTTGCCTTTTGCACTTTTGTTTGAGTTAATTATAAAATGTATACTAATTCATCAGGCAAATGCTTTTCTACAAACATTGAAATTGTGCTTTCTTTAAATACAAAATTTTAAGTACCTAATAATTTATTTATTAAAATGTGAAGCTGTTTAGTTATAACTTTTTATTCAAGTTTGTAAATAGGCCCGTTGAAATTATTCTAAATTTACTTAACAATGACACTGTTATTGACATTTGAGTAATTATGAAGTTTGTTTATTATATAACTTGTAAAAGCTAATATAAGAGACCACTCAAAGCACGGGTGATGTAACTTATTTGTGTTGATACAAACCTGGAGTTATATTGATATAGTACACGCAATTTAAGTATAACTTAATTACAGGTTACCACTCTATGCTTGCATCTTCATTAAGGAGGCTTTGAGATGCCAAAGTATTGTTTTACAGTTTCAAACTTTTTTGTATTTATTGGAAACAAAAACAGAAGTTAACGCAATAAATCTTTCACAGTAAGGCAATTTGTTTGTAAATTGCTTTATTAAGGGGTTTATAACAAAAAATAAGAATATTTGAAAGCTTGCAGCATTTAATACCCGTACACAACCCGTATAAATTAAATTGATTTGTTTTACATCCCACTAACTAGGAAGTTATAGGGTAAATGTAAAACGATTCCACCTGCTCTCTATAAACCTTCCATCTCAAATATGATTTATGGCTCTATAAATTATGTCTTTATGGGCAAAATTGAATAAAACACAGAAAACACCATAATGTTCCAAAATCGAAGTGTAGTTTATCATCTGATAATGAAAAGACAAGGTTTTCCTTTCAATTTTATTAGCCAGATGATCGAGTGCATGTTCTCAAACTTTTCTCCAACTGAATCCCAATCATAAGACTTGTGCCTGGAAAACTTTGATTTGGGAAGAACCGAGGTTTTTCCAAGCGCTACTATGCAAACAAAATACATGTTGAATGAAATAATAAATGAAAAAACATTTTTGTATAATCAACAATGTTGTCTACATCTACTCCAGTATATTTTTGTCATAAATTTAAAATTAAAAAAGCATTTTTATTTCAAGTGAGTTAACGTGGGAGCGTTAACAACTCGATTTTTAAAAATTATTTTATTTCACTCAAAATTATTATTACACTTATTTTAATTATTAAAATTATTATTTCACTTTACAATTATTTCACTAACTTCACAAATAACTTATTTTTACAATAATGAATGGCTTGAACTCGAACTAGACTTATTTCAGACTAACTGTTTACACCAGACATATAATTCAGACTTATACCAGACTTGTATTCAGACTAAAACGCATCTTTCCTATCCTGAATTTATAATATAAATTAATGCAACGGTTGCAAGGTTTTTGATGATGGTAAAGCGCGTGATGATTACGTTTCCTTATGGAAGCTTCTAGTTGATCCATAGGCACGTGGATGGAGATATCATAACAAGTGGCAATTGTGTTTTGTTTTGTTCTGAAAAACTTTATTGCATAAAGAATTTTTTTGTTGTTTTTAGCAATTACAAGAAGAAAAAATTCTTGGATTCAATTAATACACGAGTGGTATTCGGTAAGAAAATTGTATGACGGCTTCAAATATAAGTCTTAGTTTTTGATGTTTAAAATAAAGTTTTATTAAATTTGGGGTTGGTTTTTGTTGTCAAAAAATTTTCACTTCGGAATTTTTTTGTGTTGCTATGTTAATCATATTAAATACTAAATTCAGATTGATTCTTCTATAGTGCCAATTTTTGCAATAATGCAATAATTGCAATTTTCCAATAAATTTTTTTTCGTTAATACTACAAAGAAATTTGTTGAATCTTTTGTTAATTTTTTATTTCTTCGTTTTATTTGTAATTGAAATTTTGTTTTCATCCTAAGTTTTCTAAAGTTTCTAATAGTATTTTAAAATTCAGTGCATAATTTTCAGTCTTTTCGAAAAGAGCTTTAGGTATAACTGTATTTTAATATCATATGACATTAATTTGTACTTTTTACATGTTTTAGTTGCAGTCTAAGTACACACTTTAGATAATAGATATCTATATAAATAAATATTAAGCGTAATATTTGCTTAAAAAAAATGAAGTGGATTTGCAACATTTTAGAGTAGTTTCTTGCAACAAGTTAGATCGCTTAAAAACAAAATAGTGTATGTGAGATATGATTAGCTATTTGATTAAGATAAGCAATTGCTATTACAGAATTATTCTAGAACTAAAGGAAATTTATCACTAAATCTGGATTGGGGCGGTTTGCACAATTTAAACAATATTTAATTTTTTTATTTTACTTTCAGCATATTTACAAATTTTGTGACTACTAACATATTTTTTTGGAAACGCATTTAAGTGGAATGGTACAGAGTTAATTTCTTCTCGCAACGCAATCAATTTAGAGTCTTTTAACTAAAAAGCCTAGTTGTAAGTGCTTCATAATGAAATTCATCTGTGAGCAGAAGTCCTCGTCATTTAATTACACCGTAAAGTCAACACTTTAAAAATTTAAATAAATGGCTGTTAGTCGCGATTTCATTAAAATTTGTCGAGTCATCAGGCGTGAATAAGCTGTAACAAATGTCGAAATTTATTGTGCGTTGCGTACACCTAAGTGCTAATGTATGTATATGTATGGTGGTTCCTGTGTAATAAATGCTTGAATGTTTCATGGGATGCGGATCCCGGCCCAACCGCAGCGATATAATCTCACCTATTTATTAAATTATTTACACCCTCATTTTGTCAGATTATTATAGCCGTCATACCTCATTCGTCCGTTTTGCCTGCTGGTGTTGTCCTATCGCGAAATCCTCAGTTTGCGTTAAAGATTAAATGCAAATTTTCCCGACTTATGCTCAAAACTACACACTTTAACGAGGAAACTTGTCGAATAGGCGCTAAGCCACATTAGGGGGCACGTGAGACAAAAAGGTTTTTACACATATCCACGGCCCAGGAAAGTAATTGGTAAGCCGATCTTAATAAAGATGAAAACCCATATTAATAACTTGTTTTAGGATAGGATTAGATCTCAAACTTTAAGTTTTGGATGTCATTTTAGAGCGTTTAGCAATTTTTTAATTTTTTATAGAAAATATAACAAACATTTATTTGCTTGATCAGTACACTCATGTAAAATAATAATGTTCTTCTTCTGACGTTTATAAAATAAAATAAAAAACTAAATCAATGCTTTACCAAAAAAAAAAAAATAATTTTTGTTTTAAATGTCTTTTTTACGTTACCAAATCATTTATATCTATTCTAAAATATTTAAATTTATTATTAATGACAAAAGAAGAATAGTAAAATAAAATATATCAATGATACAGTAAATTATAATAAAACGTGTTTTTTAACTAAACAAAATCAGGAGATTGGTTCAGGTTTGTATTAAAAATAAAATATAGGTGCTTAAATTTTTTAAAAACGCTAAGATTACTCATTCTAATAATAATGTAGTAAAAATTTGAGTAAAATACTATCAAGGTTATTAAATTTAAGACCTTTCAAACTTGAAGAGTTTATAAAAGTTACAGAATAAGCTCCATTATCTAACATGATTTATTTTGTTATTTATAAATAAATCACATTATCATATTAAACGTATTTTTTTTTAATTGATGTTTATAAACACAATTTTTTTAATAATACACAAGGTGTTTTTAAAATTCATTTATTATTAACAGAAATTAACATTGTTATCACTTAAAAAACATTAAAACATTTAAACTCTCTTGTAATGTCTCTTTCCAGTGGGTGCTGAGCTGTCGGCACTCAAAGTCTGCAAATAAATTTATTTAGGTTCGAACAACTTGCAGTAGTAAAAATTTAACATACCACAACGAGGTTGCTATCGGAGAATTTGTAGACCCTGGTTCCAACTTTGCCGCTGGGAGCTTTGGAGGTGATTGTCAAGGTGTCTCCTTCAAGTTTAGCTGTGCTCTTAAAAATTGACATTATTTCCTTCAAAAAGCAGCGATTTAATACTTACTTTGAGAGTAAAGTTATGAGGCATCGGTTCGTCTACTTCCTCGCCCAATGTAAAAGTCGACGAGGCATTCTCAACTCCGGAGTCGCTGTTCAATGAAATTTTCTTCCCATCAACGACCACTTGAAGTTTGGGTTTGAGCGAGTCAGCTAGTTTGGCTTTGTCTTCGGGAATGCCTACGAAAGCAAATTAATCAATGGAAAGCCACATGAAATTTTTTTTTATTTACCCAAAGCCATCAAATATTCGGCGAACTTTTCGTTCTTTTCGAGTTGGTAGGTACCGGCGATTTGAACCATGGTTGATTGTTTGTTGCAATTCCAAAACTGAACTACTGCAGTGAGAGATTTAAGCGGCTTTTATAGTGATCAGTGAGAAGTGATTTTTGACCGAAATAAAGATAAAATTTAGCTTATCTTGTCTCATTTTCTCTGTCTATGCATCATGGTGTCGTTTCAACTACACACCTGTATCAGTGAGAATAAAAAAAATTGTTTATATAAAGAGTTATTGATTTGTTATAAATTCTCTCATTAATGTCAAATTACAAAAAACGAACTTGCTTATGCATTAATGGAAATTTTATCATATGTAGCAAACACAAATCTGCTTTTATTTAAAAAAATGTATGAAATAAAAATCATGTTTTCCGTTTAATGCGATAATTTAGCTAATTCATTTTTTATAATTGCTTTAAGTACCTAAATGTAAAATATTTATGAGGTACGTTATATTATGTTTTAGTATTTTCCATAATACACTGACTGAACAGTATAAATTATTATTACATTACCTTAGCTTATAACCACAGTAATTAATTAAATATCATATCCCAACCTTCCCGCTTAATGTAGTATTGATTTTGCAGAATTCTGATTGATTGGTGTTTTATTAAGTTGAAAATAATGACACTTCTGGGATATTGACTGTCTATCCGTTTAAATTTAAAATTTAAGAAGATGAATAGTATAAAAATATATTTTTTTTTATTGATTGATGACTGATGATTTACATTGAGGGTAGGTTAAACACCTGTTATCTCTATATGCAACAGTGATTTTATCTTAAAGTAAACTTTGTATTGTGTACTTTTGCACATGATTAGAGATACATCAAATCGGACAAAATCAGTTATTAATTGAAAAGAAAATAAACATACAGTTTTAATGAGTTTACTTAAATACATTATTGGCGTTTACATATTTGTATGTAGAGTGTGTAAATAACAGCAAATATTAATTTCATTATCATGATAAAAACACTCTCTACACACCGTGTCATTATTTTAACTCTAAACACACAAGGTGTTTCACATAAGTCTGCGAGGCCTGCGCCTAATAAGTATACGTACCCTAAAATACAATTGTCATAAAAGACTTCTTACAAACAAAAAATAATTTTTAGGGGAGTTTGTACAAATTCTATTTTGCTGATTGAATTTTACAGTGGCAGGCTTTGTAAAGTTATTTGAAACACCTTGCATACTATGTTTAATTTAGAAAAAGCACGGACCCATTGAGGGTATTGGAGTGGGTACAACTAGTTCTTATTGACATATACTTTTTTTTTAATGAACATAGGGACGAAGTTTAGACTATGATTTGTGTATTAAATATAGTTATATCACCATCATGATCTGTTTTATATTTTATCATTGTCCACATTTGCTTGATAACGCGTTTTGTTACAAACATGGAAAATTTTGATAGCTACTATTTTTTTATCTAAACACAGGGTGAATATAAACTGTGAAACCAAAGTTTTTTTTTAATTTTTTGCCTCTAGAAAATAATAATTAATATAAATTAAAGTAATATAAAAAATGTGATCGTATTTTGAGAATGGAATTTTTTTATTTTTAGAGTTAAGTATGCGATTTTTTTGTCAAAATTGCAAGTTACGTAAAAAAATTTTTTTGAAAAAATTACAACAACATTTTTTGTTAAAGCTTCCAAAACACGAATTCACACTTTTAATTAATTTAAAAAAAATACCACCATAGTAACCAATTTTTTTTTGTCCGGAAAAACTGTTTCTTTGAACTGAGTACTTAAAATAACCATTTTCTCATTTTAGAGAGCGTATACAAAAAAATAAATAAATGGCAACTCGAAAAAACAGCTTTATCAGCAATCATCATTATTCAATTAATTAATTGTCAAAGTGACATAGTGGTCAAAAAATAAAACTGCAATGTGATGACATTTAAACAGAATAAGTCTAAAATTAAGAGAAAAATTAATTTTTCTTCTTACTGAATCAGAATAATGTAGTTTTAATTACAGTTTTGTTGTTTCAGATGAAGCAAAAAATGTTTTTCTTTTAGAGTTTTGGAGTAAAATCAAAGATACTCTTACTCCGGGGACATACTGTAGATTCACAATTAGTTAAATTAAATTTAAGTATATTTGTGGAGTAGATATTTTGTGGAAAAAATTCTGATTTAATTAGGTACATTTCGAGCTTTCATACAGGGTTATTCATAAATATGAAGCAATATTTGAACCTCAAAAATGACCTATAAAATGATGTTAATTTAAATAATAACTCATGTCCAATCTCTACTGATAAGAATTCTACAGCCCTCGGAATGTGGGTATGGAACTTTGATTTTTTTGTAATACCTTTGGAACTATTTGACCAAATATTATAAAATTTGGAACATTTCCTTGTGACAACATACCTTTTGAACTGGTAATCACGAAAACCGGATACATCTACTCAATTTCCGGTTACAGCAGTTGCTGGTCACAGTTTCTGTGTTTTTCCATTTTTTTGCTCTCTTAACACCAATTTTTTATTGCCTAAATCGATACAGTAATTAATTTCGAATAAAAAACGCATAACCTTTAATACCCCTAAAATGGACCGTTTTAAAGATATTTTAATTTAAACTGAGGACTGCACAACGCTGAAATCAAAAAGTATGAATTTTGAATGAGTCATATCCAAGGCAACAAATGACCATGGTCACATATTTTGCTATCAGGCATCTGTCAACTTGAGATTGGACGATTATTAGACGATTAATCGAAAATATTTAATAAAAGAGTAACTTAGAATAAATCTAAATGGATCTCGTAGCATTTAATTCATAAAAAATTCACAAAAATTTATCGTCAAAGTTAACAGAGGATTTATGTGACCATAGTCATTGGTTGCCGAGGTTACCGCTTATTCAAAATTCATATTTTTCATTCTCAGCGTTGTGCAGTTCTCACTTTAAATTAAAATATCTTTAAAACGGTCCATTTTAGTGGTATAAAAGGTTATGCGTTTTTTATTCAAAATTGATTACTCTTTAGATTTAAGCAATAAAAATTAGTGTTAAGAGACCAAAAAACGGAAAAACACAGAAAATGTGACCTGCAACTGCTGAAACCGGAAATTGAGTAAATGTATCCGGTTTTCGTAACTACTAGTCCAAAGGCTATGTTCTCGCAAGTAACTATTGTAAATTTTATAATACTTGGTCAAATGGTTCCAAAGTTATTACAAAAAAAAAAACAATTACCATACCCACATTCCGAGGGCTGTAAAATTCTTATCAATAGAGATCGGACACGAGTTATTATAAAAATTAACATCATTTTATAGGTCATTTTTGAGGTTTAAATATTGCTTCATATTTATGAATAACCCTGTATATTCGTCATTAGTCAGGTGCAGCTTAAATACTGCTGAAGTAAGTCGTTGGTTTTTATTGTGAAAGTTTAGCGCTTCTGGTATCTAATTGTTCATGTTTGTCTAAAGTATGTAGTCTATAAAAGCAGGAAAAATAAGGTCGAACGTGCAACGCGTAATAAGCTCATAAAATCGTCTGCATAATTCAGAGGGTGATTTGTGCCGTCGTCCGTCATCGAATAAACAATTCGAGTTCGCAGTGAAGCAGGAAGAGCGGAACTTCCGCGAACATCCACCCTTTTTAGAAAATCTTAGTGCGGCAATAATAATAAAAACTAATGACTGTGGTATGGTTTTATTTGTGCAGCGAGCCTGGCAAAGCCTTGTTACATGAAAAACGAGCCAGTTGTTGGGATATGTAGTTCAGTCGTGCCTTTGATATTTTCGACGTGATGTCGATGAAAAAGGACGGTGCTATCAGGAAGGACGGCGCAGCATCCCTACGGTTCGCGAATGTCGCTCAGTCCTCTCTGGGCATTGCTTCTGTGCGGTTCTTTGCTCGGCACCCAACCTCCCTGTCCGTCAAGCCCTGTAATCTCTCCTGTACTAACGCGCTTATCCCGAGTGTCGATCAGAGTTCAACTCAGCAGGAATTAATTATTCAAACCCGCGAACAAAAACGATTCTTCGACGCAAACACAACACATGATCTCCACGCTCAAACCAACGGAAAGAAGTCGCCGATAAACAACACGAGACACGCGGCTATTCTTGATCCCGTGCTGCGACCTCCGACGTCGTACACTTCTCTTCTGGCACCCAGTGCATGGCAAGTAATACCCTTTTATTAAATTCCAGGGGAAGACTAACCGCGAGATTTTCAGACCTCGATCATCCATTGAGAACTGAACATCCGACGTTTTGAATAGGTAACGACTTTGGAGACAGATTTTATTAAAAATAACTCAACATTTGAATAGAAACAATTTTAAAACGAAAAATCCTAGATTAGATGGCCCTATAATTCCTTGCACAGGATGAATCAATTTTATCGCTGTCAGACTCAGCATCGGATTTATTAAGGGGGCCCTCTTCCTAGTACTATTCTGCAACAGAAATAATAGCCTGTATTTAATACACGAGAGCTTTGAAGCAACTTGTAACTGGTTTGCTCAAAAAATTATTAATTAACAATTAACAAATAAAAATATTTAACTAGAATTTGAATAAAACTGAAAGTTATCTGCACTTTTTATATTCCAGGCCGCACAGAATATTTACAATTACTCGTATTAAAATGTCTGTTTTATAGATTTTGTATAATAAACAACTTTAAGACAGGCTACAAATATTACTGTCAAATAAATGTTGTTAAACTACCTTTGAAAATGAATTAACATTTGTTTCAATGAAGTTTAAACGGTTAAAATATGTTAAAACTTAGGAACCTGTCAAGCTTTTTGACCCAATTTTCTGTTATCAACAGGGATATTTGATTATACTAAAAGGCTACAACATTTTCAAATTAAATTTAGACTAATTAATTCCAAAAGCAGTTGGAAACATTGATATTTATGTCATTTAATCTTTATAGCTGTCGGTGCATGCTGTTGGATGATTAACAATTACATATTTGATATTGTAATGGTTTTTCGTGCAATTAATGGGTTGGATTTAAGTAGGTGCAGAATGAAAACTATTCTAAACTAATGAATCCACATACAGGGTGTCCCAGCGAGTTGAAAAAGTCCATTAGTGACCTTTAAATGTTAAAATTAAAAAATATTACATAGGACATTGATAGATACTAATCTAGTCTATCGCCTAAAATTATTTTTAACTATATATACAGCGTGTCTTAAAAATAAGTTACAATACAAATTTGTGTTTTTGAATGAAACACCATATGTTTCTTAGCGTTTTTGGATGTAGATTTGTATGACAATGTTTTTAAACTAGACTTTTTCGTCAATTTTGCCTAGCTTTAAAAATAAGACGGTTTTTTTGACGAAAACATGCACTTTTTAAAAATTTATTACACAAAAACTAAGGCATCTAGAAATATATTTTTTACTATCGCAAAGAAGAAGGTATAAGCTATAAGGTTGTAACATTTTTTTATTGTGTTGCATTTGCAGAAATAAAAAAATGAAGGCGTTTGTTAAAAGTTCAATAACTTAAAAAATTTTAATGGAACACCCTATTTATTGTTTTGCATTTAAAAGATTATTAAATTGTCTTTCTAAAATTATTTACTTTTAGGTGTTTATAATCAAAAAGTAAAAAGATATTGAACGTTAAACATTTAAAAAAATAATTACTATTGTTTCAGTAGCCAAAAAGTGCACAGTTGCACAAAAGATGTAAGAAATATCACTTAATAATCACATTTGTGTTAAACTGAATTCATTATTCTTTATTTTTACAATAAAATAATTCGAATTTCAGTATTTATAACGACTTTTACATTTTCTGGATAAATCAACGGATAAGTGATAAGTGGAATTACTATGGTTGCCATAGTATCAACAATGCTCAGATATTGATAGACATTGTTGCTACAATTAATATTGAATGTTAAAATATTTTCATATTCATATTCATATACATATTTTATTTATATATTTTATTTTTTTATTCATATATTTTCACTAAAAAATTACTAAAACTTTATATTCTGTACTTTCTTCTTTGCGAATTAAGAAAAAGTTTGTTCCAGCTGTCTTAGTCTTTGTGTAATAAATTTTTAAAAAGTGCATGTTTTCGTCGTCTAAAACTAAGCGAAATCGACTAATAAAAGTTTAGCGTAAAAACATTGTTTTAAAAGGCTACATCCAAAAATGCCAAGAAACATACGGTGTTTCATTTAAAAAAAATGTATCGTAACTTATTTTTGGGACATGCTGTATGGTTGAAGATAATTTTAGATGATGCACAAGATTAGTATCTATCATTTTTTTTAATTGTACCATTTAAAGGTCGCTAATGAACTTTTTCAACTCGCTGGGAGACTCTGTATTTCGAAACGATGTTTTGTATAGTATAAAATTTCAAATTTGAGTGTACCTCTAGTGTGAAAACCATATTTCTACACGAGAGCGATTTATTTAATATTTATTGTAAATTATAGACCATCATGTTCATATTTGTTACGGTAATTAGGTTTTACATTGTGACTAAATTTCTACTGATAGGTCAAAGTTATATTTTTAATGAGGTTTATTGGACCGTGTTTTTTAGCAAAGTAAATGAAATTTTCTCTACAAAACATATATCTATAATATTTATGTTGCTTTCAGTGCATACATTATAAATCAATAGTGCAACAGCAATTTTTTACTGCTAAAAACAGAATTTTTGTTTGATCTTTTTGTGAAATAATCTTATTCAACTTACTTTATTCTCAGTTTTACGAACTACGTTACAGAGAATATTTACTAAGTTAGAAATTGATTTAGACAAGTAAACAAATTAATCAAAATTACCTAGTTTTTGCTAGTAAACATAATTTTTATTAATTAGAATTTTTTAACAACGATTGAAGTTAAAACTTTTTATTTTATTTTTTTATAAATTTAGATTTAAGTGTAGGTTTGCAGGAAAACAAAACTGCATGTCAACAAAAATTTTTTATGGACCTGCTAAGCCACTCCTTGCAAGGGAAATTTTACTTCGGTTAACTCTGAACATTTTTTATAAAAAAAATAAGTTTGGAAGAACACTAAGACAAGTTTAATACACAGCTCAATAAGTCTCAACATGTATTTAGATGAACACTAAGACAAGTTTAATACACAGCTCAATAAGTCTCAATATGTATTTAGATGGCCATCCTCTATGTTATTTTTTAAACATCCATAATTACAAAATAATGTGAACTCATTTTATTTATTCAGTTCGCCTTTTAAGCAAATTAATATATATTTAGGTATGAATAATTGTTCAATATGAATAAATATTACAAAAAGTTTTTTTTCGAGATAAATTAAAATTAATTTTTAAAATATTTTGATACAAATTCTGCCCGTGTGACCAACCAAAACAACGCCGCCATTGAATTTACATAACAACAACTCTTTTATTTACTGCGAGATTAAAATAAAAAATATTTTCGATCACGAGCCAAATATTACAAAACTGTCTCCTGCCGCCACATTTAATCAAAACGCTCCCAATAAAAATTTCATAATTGACAAAGACAGGTATTCTGTTATGATTGACGGTATTGATGAGTGCAATTGATCAAATGGCCGTATGAAGCGTGTGAAGTTTTGCCTTATTAATGCGGTCTATGATTTGCACTTCCCGTTTTAGTTTATGCGACAACGTTAACTGTTCTGCGATGCAGTTAGTCTGTCCGAGCGGTTATTTGCACCACCGTTTATTATTTGTTTTGCTATGATATTTGTTCCCCGTTATATTGCATGCCAGCGACTCTAATTTACAACGTAAACATACGAGAGAGGATTCGCTATTTTTTAACTAATAAGTTCTAAATCAAAAATATATAAAACATAAAGCTAACTAACAAAACATTATGCAGGATAGTTAAACTTAAGACAGGCAGAAGTCCTAGCCTTTTTGAGGATATGAATAAAAGAGTAAAAATCTAAATTTTTAAACTAAATCTTATAGGGCTAAGGTTTAGATAGATAATGTACAAAATTTTTACAAAAAAAAGAATTAAATGTCAAGTCTGCATAAAATAAACAACGATGATTAATTGTGCTAATATGTATTGTTTATATTCTGTAGTTTGCAAAACAGACTTGTAAAATTGTTAATAATTATTTACTGCTGACAGTCATTAAAACAACCACTTTTGCTTTGATTTAAATCCTGCTATAAAAATTCCACCACTTTGTATAATTCTGTTTGTATAATATTTACGTTGGGTTTGGGTTTGTGCTAAAGCATCTGTACTCGTTATTTTGATTATATTAATTTCATTATTCGCGGTTTGGAACATCATAACACAAAAATGTTGTCAAAAAAAACACGAAAGCATTCCAGTGTTTTATTTTTGTCTTGATACAAATTTGCTTACAAAAATATTGTTTAATGTAATAAATAAATTACTATAAAAGGGCATTTGGTAAAATAATGATTTAACCACGGTTGTATAGCTGTGATAACAAAAAGTTAATTTGACTCACAAGAATGTTTAAAGAGAACATACAGGTGTTTTACAGCGTAATAGGATCTGTAACCGTTGTTTAAAGACAACAATCTGCAATTAACAATTAGTTCTGAAAATGGAATTAAAGTGAAAATGTGATTATCTTGTTTGTATGTATTGTAGTTAGTTATTTTAAAGTTTGTGGTTATTTTATCTTCGCTTAGAGTATCCATGAATTTTCATGAATGATTGTTTAGTTCTATAGAAAAGATAATTTTGAATGTTCACATCTAAAGGAACGTTAGAGGTTTCCTTATAGAACATCTTGAAGACAGTTCCACTCCTTTTCATCTTAAATCTAAGATATTTTGGGTTAAATTGAATAACTAAAAGCACATTTCAAGATACTCTACTTCACTTCATAATTTGTCTTTTATCAATATTAATAAAAACGATGAACCACAATAAAAAAATTAAGTCATTATATGCATTTTGCCACAGACGTAGTGGGAAGTTCTAACAATAATTATATTAATATTGGTCAATAGATTTTGAAGATAATATTTTGCTAACATTATAAATAGTCTAATCACCCAATATAAATTTTATATAGGTATTATCCATTAAATTTTAATTGCATAAATATTTATACGATCCATTATTAATTAGTAACACTCTGCTATAAATTATAATGATCTTGTTTTGTTTTGCTATAGTATTGCTTGTTGAATAAGATATATGGTCTAAAATATGATATTTTGTTAAATTTTTTCTAAAGTCTCTAATCAAGAAAGTAAAAAAGCATAAAGT